AATTGGATTGTTTTTTGAAAATCAGAGAACACAAAAAGAAAAAGAATATTATGCAAAAATTAAAGACCAAACATTTATTCTAAAAATGGCGTACCTTGCTGATTTTTTCACTGAAATTAATAGTCTGAATATTTCACTGCAAGGAAATGAAACGAATATTTTGACGTTGCAGGATAAAATCGCAAATTTTTTGCGCAAATTGGAACTTTACCAACGCAGAGTTCAAGCTGGTGATGTGTCAATGTTTACACAACTAAGTGAGCAATTAGTAAATAATAAACAAGAGAAAATCTCGTTTGAAAATTCCGTGGTTCAACATTTAACTGCCGTGATAGACTCACTGCAGCAATATTTTCCGAACATGGACAGTCGTGAGTCCTACTCCTGGATTTTAAGACCATTTTCTACTTGCGTCGATATTTTCAAGGACGAAGATGTGTCAGCGAAAGTAGAGTTTCTCGGGCTGCGTGAGAATAACTCATTGAAAGTTGATTTTCAAAATGATAAACTAAGCACATTTTGGCGAAAAGCAGCTGCAGAATATCCCATTATAGCTGACAGAGCTTTAAAAATGTTGATTCCATTTGCTACAACTTACAGATGTGAAACTGGTTTCTCAACTCTTGTTACATTAAAAACAAAAGCCAGAAACCGTCTGAATGTTGAGCATGACATGAGATGCGCGTTGAGTGAAACCGAACCTAATATTGTCAAACTTGCGAATGCAAAGCAATTTCAACCTTCACACTAGTTAACTCCAAGATTTACATATTACTTTACTTTACTAGTTACCTAAACGTGCAATTTCTTAGAATTTAGTTAGATAATAAACATATTTTCGTTCGAATTTGTGTGGTTTTAATTATTTTAAATTGGCTAGGGGTAAACTCAATTCCCATACTTGTTCACAGGGGTAGTGACATTGAAAAGGTTAGGAACCACTGCCTTAAACCAACCATCAGTCATGTTTCAAAGTCTTCCTGCTACTGTTTCTAGGCTCCTTGATAATAACCAACAGCAAAATACAACTTATGTATCTTTATCATTACCAGAAAATGGTATCCATCCATGACTCAATATTATTGTACAACTGATAAAATCAATAAAACAATATTTGTAAGTATCTAACTGTTATTTCATTTTACGCTGCAATTGATTCACGTTTAGAGAAAAGATTCGATCACGAGGCAGGAAATCGACCAAAAAACAAACGTATAAACAAACCCTCCTCAGACTAAAACGATGTTTAAACTCACAAAACTCACAGTTCAAGTTAAGCCTGTGCTACAGAAATCTACAAATTGAACTAATTTTACGTCTAATCTCAAGTTAAGTAGAACTAGTGCTGGCGCAACAGGCCATTACTGAATGAGTATGATACCTTGAAAATGATTCTGATTATTTTTTCACGAGAAAACTTACCTTAAAGTTATAACAAGCCTTTCTTCTGGTAATATAGGTTGCTTATGCAGATTACACCAATTTTTGGTTAGACGATTCCCAACTTTCTCCAAAATATAATTGAATGTGTCCTGGCTCATTCTCATATACTGGAAGAATCTTTTATCATCTTTCTTCAAGCTTGGAAATAAATGATGGTATTCCCCATAAGTTATTCTTTCACGATTAATAGAATGTATTCCAACCCTTTTCCTTCTTACTTTGGTAGAAATCGACTCTAAAGCAATCAGATCATCATCAGAAGACGACATGTTGCTGCGAATAGATAAAGAACGCGACTAGCGAGTTTTTAAAATGATTTTCCTCGCTTTTACCGGCATCCACTCTGTGCTATCTCGGCGCGAGAAACAGGCGCCAATCTGCTTCGACTACCGGTAAGCGAGAATCTCGCGTGCACTGTGTGTTTACACTTAGAATCCTTCTTGACGAAAGCTGAACTTGAAAAACCGTCCTCGCCAGAGCGCCAGCAGGAAACTGACGCAGCATCTGCTTCTAAACCACATGATGAAGATACGCTGAATATAATTTGTGAATCTTCTGCTTCTGGGTCAAGTGCTGCAACAGATGCTACTGCCATTGCAATTGCAACTACAAATATTTCAGCAGACACAAAGTCACTTTAGATACCGATCCAGCTACGTGGCCTAGTAGACCAGCAGATGCAGAAAGAATATTTTTAGTAAATCGAGGTTCCCCTAACCCACTGTATGAATTTGAATTTCCAAAAGATAACAAAGGACGAAGGTTTACTTCAAGGTATTACGAGAGAAAGCTTAATAACAATGAACAAATTTTGAGAGACTGGCTTGTGTATTCTAAAGCAAAAAATGTTGTCTATTGTTTTTGCTGTAAAATTTTCAATGTAACTTCTTCCGATATATCAGAAGATGGCTACAACGATTGGAAACATTTAGGTGATACTTTGAATCTCACGAGATACCACGAAGTCACTTAGAAGCTGTAAGATCTTGGTTTAAACTTTCGCGTCGACTCAAGTCGTCGCATAGATAGATAGATAGATGCCGAATCTCAGAGAATAATTAATTCAGAAATAAACCATTGGAAAGAAGTCTTGTTACGTATTGTCTCAGTCACCAAAATGTCCGGAAGAAGTAACTTAGCTTTTCAGGGTACTTCTGATAATCTATCAATATAACAATGGCAACTTTTTGAAACTATTAGAGTTGTTAGCCGAATTTGATCCTGTTATGCAGGCACACGTACGCAGGGTTTTAAAGAAAGAAGAGAGACAAGCAACCTACCCAAGTAAAACTATTCAGAATGAGCTTATTGGTACAATATCGGACAATATTAAACGGCATATTTTGGAAGCTATAATTAAATCAAAATATTCTATTATCTTAGATTGTACCCCGGAGCAAAACTGGGCAGATGACCCTAATAATTCGGTATATTTCTTTAAAACAGACCGACGACAATCCCAGAACTTCCGAAATTGTAATGAGTGAGAGTTTTTTAGGATTCATACCTATCGAAAAATGTGCAGGCCTCAATCTGACAGAGATTATCTTAGAACAATTATCAGAACTTGGATTGTCTCTAGAGAAATTAAGAGGGCAAGGGTACGATAATGGATCCAATATGAAAGGTATTCAAAGTGGGATCCAAGCCAGGATAAAAAACATAAATCCACGGGCATTTTATGTTCCTTAATCCAGTAATCGTTCCTTAAACCTAGTGGTAAACGATATGGCAAAGTCTTCACTGGAAGCTACACATTTTTTTAATATCGTGCAAAAATTATACCTGTATGTTTTCTTTTCCTCTTCAACGTAGATGGTCAATTCTTTTGATGGATGTAAAAGGTTTAACACTGAAACCACTTAGTGACTCAACATGGGAAAGTCGAATTGAAGCATTAAAACCCCTGAGACAGCAAATAGGGCAAGTTTACGATGCATTACTTGATGTTTACCAAAACACCGACATGGATACCTCTGCACGAGACGAAGCTTCGGGTTTGTTGAATCAAATCAAACAGTTTAAATTCTTATGCTTTTTAATAATTTGGTATGAAACTTTAGACCGGATAAATCCTGTCAGTAAATTAATGCAAAGTAAAGATTTTGAGTTACTATCAGTAATTAAATTAATAAAAAATACCAATTTTTTTTTGAAAATTCACGCTCAGATGAGTACTTTAACCAAGTCCTTGAAGATGCCAAAGCCTTAGCTACTGAAATTGACAGCGAGATCTTTGATTTTAGAAATGTCAGTCAACATCGTGTTCGTTCGAAAAAAAAAATCATTGATCTGCGTCAAAAATATAAAATCGAAGTGTTTTTTCACATTATCGACACAGCTGTAAACTCTTTGGAGTTGAGGTTTTCCCAAATTAATGAACATAGTAAATATTTTGCTTTTTTGTATAACGTATAATGCCATAAGAGAAATGCCAAAAGATGAATTGTTGAATAATTGTAAGAACCTCCAGACTATTTTAACTCGTGAGAATTCATATGATATAAATGCATTAGAACTTTCAGAGGAGTTATCAGTAATTAGGGAGATCCGACATGAAACGGACGGTTGATGAAACGGACACTGGCGGCCGTTGCCTTACTTATAACTTAGACGGGTGTTACACGCTCAATCTGGGATCAGTTCAGTCCGTGATTGTGGTCAGAATGTTGTCAGAATAAACGTGTTGACTGATGGAATGATGAACCAGATTGACCGATATTTAAATATTGTAATAATTACTGTCAGTCTGCCGTGGATTGACGACAGACTAATCGTGTATTGTGCACATTTTAGTCTCCCATCATTTACCGCCGTCCGGGCAGCAATGGAGGTGCACGTGGAAGACCCTTCTCCGTCGCAAACGCAGCCGTTGGAGCTGGAAAAAGACTTTATTATTACATTTGAAACATTGCCAATTTTATGGGATAAAACAGATAAGAATTACGTTAACAAATACAAGAGAAATGAAGCTCTGGACAATCTGTTGGTTATATATAAAAAAATAAAACCTCAGGCCACCTTGGATGATGTGAAAAAGAAGATAAATACATTGAGATAAAATTATCGTCGCGAATTAAAGAAAATAGAATCATTGCGAATGTCAGGAGCTGGAGCCTATGATATTTATACCCCGAAAAGTTGGACTTTTGAATATCTTCATTTTTGGGTACATTTGAGAAACCTCAGGAGAGAATTTCATTCGTTTCTTTTGGTAGTAAGGTAGCAAGGGGTAGGTAGTAAGGGGCGCCCGGCCAACAAATTGGCCGGATGCGGAACCTATGATAACACATAAAGTTTGTGGAGTAATAATAGGACGAATTTTCAAGCTCAACATTCTGGTTGTAGTGGAACTTTGTGTCTTTCTCTTGCTGACGTTAATTAATAAATTAACAAATTGCTGAATTTAAAAATTCGCTCATTAAAACAATAATTTTAATTTGTAGATAATTTATTTCCTTGACAAATTTACATTATATACACTGCACTATGAGTTGAATCGAGTAAGTACATATAGTTCTCGATTTTTGCTTGGTAATTTTGAAAATAGTCACTTCCTAATCGATTTTACGAATATCCAATTTACCTTCATTATTAAAGTAATGACAAAATTTTTCTCTTGTAGTTTGCGCATCACTTAGTGTATTTCGAATACTAGAGGGCTCCAAATCAAGTAATTCAGTATTATCTGGTTTTGTGACTCTCCAATTTAATACCAAATAAAGCCTTGGCTGTGATTTCATCAAGTAATTGTGCAAATAACAGCTCGCTGCTACTATAGTTGCAGCTTTTTTGGGCTCGAAACATATCGCTTTGTAAAAAATTCCAAATTTCGATCTCAGTATCCCAAAGGCACCTTCAACAACTGATCTAGCATGCGATAGTCGGTAATTGAATGTTTTTCGCTCATTATTGCATGCATTTTGTGGGTAGGGCTTCATTAGATGTTTTCCTAGCGCAAAAGCTTCATCTGATATGAAAACATAAGGAAATGGTTCTGCTGTATTTGGCACAGGCGACGAATCTGATATATTTAAGTCACCTCTTTGATACAGCTCCCAGAATTTAGTATAAAATAGTACACCACCATCGGATATTCGACCGTTAGCACCAACATCTATCATGATAAATTGTTTCTTGGAATTAACTAACGCCATGAGAACTATACTGAAATGACCTTTGTAGTTGTGGTATAATGCTCCAGAATGTGCCGGTTTTTGAACTGTAACGTGCTTGCCGTCCAAAGCCCCTAAGCAGTTCCAGAACTGATATGTTTCCCCAAAATCAGAAGCAATCTCTTTCCAATCTTCCTTTGTCCTTGGCATGTGAAATATCAAATGTATACTATTTCTACAGATTCTCGATACTGATGCAGATAATAATGAGAAAGAATCTAGTTCAGACCTAACACAACGACAAGAGCAAGAGAGAATGGAATCGCAAACGAGCATTTCATCCATTTCCTCTGCAAACACAGTCATGCCACCACCACCACAGCCTGCGAAGAAAGTGAAGAAAAACATGCTCGCCAAGCAGAATGAGTTATTATATCGGGCATGTGCATATTTATCTGAACCTGAAGTCAGCAGTGGCAGTAGTAGGGGTAACTCAATTGCATTTGATTGGGAAGAAACTTTAGACCGACTTGATCCAACTCAACGATTATATGCTAAAAAGGCAATCAACGATATCCTATTTGAAGCAGAGTTAGGAAATTTGAATAGAAATTCGGTTCAAATCAACACAGCCACATCTGTGCACTCACCTCAGTCATCTCAGCATTCATATTAGTCGTCTCCACATTCATCGCAATCATTCTCTCACTCACCACAACTATGTCTGCCCTCACCTCAACCATCTCTGCACTCACCTCAAACATCTCTGCACTCATCTCAACCATCTCCGCAATTATCTCAACTACCTCCTACCTACGTGTTAACGCCTCTTTCATCCCCTTCTCCCGTATTTGAATCAGAAACGCAAGACGATCATCCTGCATCTCCACTCTTGGGTCACTATTTACTCAATTTACAGGAAATTAGTAAATACGTGCATTGTTTTACTTTACTTAAGAATCTTTCCTTGTTTACAACTTATTTGATATTTTTGATTTTTAATTTTGTGTTATTTTAAGATTTGTATGGCAAATATAAGCCTTAAAAAAATTGTGCCTACTCTTTTAATTGAGCATAAAGCAGTGCTTGACATGTGTCCATTATCGCCTGACTAATAGCAGCTGGCGACATTATAACCGATAATTTTAAATCCTGAATGTTCCTTCCAGTAGCAAGGTACCGTAAAGTTACAGCCAATTTTTCTTCCGCACTTATTGCGTTTCGCATAATCGTATCTTGTTTTGTCAAATATGGCTTAACCATTTCCAACAAGTGATCAAAGCAGGCATCTTGCATTCGAAAATAATTTGCATAGTCTTCCTCTTCTTTTGTGTCTCGTATTTCAGTCAACAACTTCAAATGTGTATACTGATCTGTTTTCAGCAACCACTCTTTAGTCCACCGTTTCCTTTTACAACGATTTTTTAAACTCGCAGCAGTCACAGCTATTATTATTACAACAACAGCTCTTTTCTTACGGCGGCGATCCATACCTTTTACACGGAATATGTGTTTATTCATGTCCGTTCTCGATTAGACTGATGTCAGTCTGAATGATCGTGTAAAATATGAAGGGGGTCCATCAGTTTGCGATCAGTCAATTCCTGACCGAGGTCATGGACTGAACTGATCCCAGATTGAGCGTGTAACAGCCGCCTTATATAAACAATTTTCCTTTATGATATGCAACCCCGTATACAACAACGAATACCACGGAAATTTGCCATTTAGTCGATTGATTTTGTGTTGATGGTACACATTTTTAATTTTTTGCCTTAAAAAGTATTTTGTTTGTGAAAACTGCGAACCATGGCACAGGTAAGCTATCAATACTTGATCAGTTTTAGTTATGTAAGTTTAGAAACTGGTTATTATAGAAGATTAAACTAGGGAAAGATCTTGTAAAATATTTCTTTTTCTGCATTTTTTATTGTAATTTTTAGGTTAAGTACATGTTGTGATGAAGTGGACAGAAAAAGTCGTATTGAAACGGAGGAGACCTTTTCATGGCTTTTGATAAATTTATTAAAATACATAATTTTTAATTTAATATTTTTCTAGTATAATAATAAATAAAATAACTAATACTTTTTGTTGCTTTTTAGCTTACCAGGTGTACACGAAAAAAAAGGTTGCGACCATCCACTAATGTAGTCAAAGCTGCCGTAAGAGAAATTGTTGAACACAATCAATCAATCTGGTCAGTAGCTATCTAAGTCTTACTTAGCTACTATTTGTAAGAAAGCTAAAAATCAAGAAGAAATCTATCGCCATCAACCTAATATATACTAAGTGACATATAAATCCGAACACCCAGTTTAAATGGTTTTATTTTAATAAAAGTTGGTGAATGTATTTATCTTACTGTAAATCACAAGCGAAAAAATTTTCAGCCTTATCAGTTGGACATTCCGGTTTTTATACTGGTTTTTTTAATTCACTAAAGCTCTAAAAATTAATATTAGTAGTAAAGAATCAACGTTGGCGGATTTTGGTTCTTGACATCCTTTACGATCGGTTACGATGCCTAGAGTACGGAGACCTGTACGATTTCGTCAACTTAGTGAGTTTGATAGGGGCCGTAGAGTGGGACTTCGGGAAGCTGGACTTTCTATTCGGGCAATTGCAGTTAGAGTGCAAAGAAGTGTAGACGCTGTGGTTAGGTGTTGTCAGGCATGGCTTTGAGAAGGCCGTACGCAGAGAGCAAGGGGCACTGGACGCCGCCGTAGAACAACAGACCGTGAAGATCGCCGCCTAAGATTATTGGCCTTAAGGGACCGTTTCTCCACTACCAGGTCCATTGCAAATGAATGGTTTGCAGAACACGGAAGACCTATTGGCATGCGAAGTGTTTACCGACGAATGAGAAGTTTTGGCTTGTTTTCATACCGGCCACACTGGGTCCTCCCTTTAACTCGAGAACACCGACGTAATCGCCTTGAGTGGTGCAGACAACGGTCACTCTGGGATCAGGAATGGAACAGTATTGTCTTTAGTGACGAGTCTCGATTTTGTTTAGGCATGCACGATGGTCGTGCCAGGGTTAGAAGGTGACGTGGTGAAAGGAGGAATCCACAGTTTTTTGTTGAAAGACATGTTCATCACACTGTTGGAGTTATGGTTTGGGGTGCTATAGCTTATGGTTCCAGGTCACCTTTATACTTCATCAGATATAACATGAACGCGCAGCGTTATATCCACGAAGTTCTAGAACCCCATCTTTAACCCTATCTTGAAACCCTGGCAGATCCAACTTTACAACAAGATAATGCCCGACCACATGTTGCAAGAGTCACAATAGACTTCTTTCAACATAATGATGTCACATTGTTACCATGGCCACCAAGATCTCCCGACTTATCCCCAATTGAGCACGTGTGGGATATGATGGGTAGGAGATTGCTCAATTTGCAACGTCCTCCTCAGACTCTAGAAGCACTTCGAGAGGAGTTGGTGGTTGCCTGGAATGAGATACCACAGGAGGACATTGACCACCTGATCAGAAGCATGCCTAGGCGCGTTGGAGAATGCGTAGCACATCAGGGTGCATCCACACATTATTAAAGGTCAAGGGCTTTAAAGCAGTGCAATCATTTTGAAATTTTTATCATTTACTTATTATGCTTCATTAAGTAGTTATACAAAATTTTATTAAAATAAAACCATTTAAACTGGGTGTTCGCATTTCAATGCTACCTCGCGTGTTTTCTTACAATATTACCATCTGAGCTGAGAAACAAGATGTATGTGATTTTCAAACGTCATATACTACAGGACACATCTGAGACCGCAACAGGATTATTGCAAAAAACAAAACCACAACTTCCAGAGCCTCATAAAGTAAGGATATTCGGGTTCTTATTTCTAGCTTATCTGAGAAAAAACTCAATCAACCACGACGATGCAAACTTGAACAAACCAATGCAAGAGTGGTTATCAAATCGAGTCAAGGCGTTAGTGAGTTCCTGGAATGGGAATGAGCAATTCGATAAATTCGAATGCATTTTCTGATCTCTCCAAAGCATATGATTGTGTAGAACATTCTCTCTTACTGAGTAAACTTGAGGCATTTGGGATAAGGGGAAGTGCCTGGAACTGGGTCAAGTCTTATTTAACAGACCGCCAACAAAGTGTTTCCATCATAAAGAATGGCATGACAGCTGTCTCATCGCAGTTAACAGTAAATAGAGGTATCCCACAAGGAAGCGTCTTGGGTCCTCTCCTCTTTTTGATGTTTGTAAATGATCTGAGTGATAGCAAACCCGAATAATGTATGTACTATTCAGTATGCAGATGATACTAGTGTGATTATAGCTAGCCAAGATTTCAGCCAAGTAGCCCAAAATACATTGAGCATATGCGAGAAAGCATTTTGGTGGTTTGCTCGCAACGGTCTATCCTTGAACACATCAAAAACAAATGCGACAGTATTCAAATTGAAGAAAAAAACAAAGCTACGAAGATCCACTTAGCTGATAGGATAGAAGTCAAGATGACAGACTCTGGTAGATTCTTAGGAGTGTATATTGACCAACGACTTTCCTGGGCTACAGGGTTAAACAGCACTTGTTATAGTATCAGGATATTAAGTAAGTACCTAGACCTTAAGACCCTAAAAATTGTTTTCCATGCCAACTTTGAGTCCATTGCACGTTTTGGTATAATTTTTTACGGACACAGTAGCCAGATAAACAGGCTCTTTCGGGTACAGAAACGAGCATTGAGATGCATGTTAAAAATTCCGTGTAGAGGAAAATTTAAAGGGAATAAAATACTCACCATAGTGGCAATATATATTCAGGAAATATTGAGTTTTACATTTAAAAATATTGGGTACTTTATAAGAATCCCAGGCAATTACAATACAAGGAACAGAGTGTACCTAATTCATCATCTATTACCGAAAAAAACGTACATTACAGTTGTGTAAAGCTTTACAATAAGTTACCCCAGGAAGTTAAAAAGTTGTCGAATATAAAAGAGTTCAAGAAATGTATTCACAAGTTACTAATGAATCTAGAGCCATATGGGCTCGATGAATATCTAGAAATGTGAAACAAACATTGTGTAATATTGTAATATTTAGACACTATTTTGTTTCTTGCATTTGTTTGCTATTATGGCATTATGTGACGTATATTTCACCTGACAGCGGACATTACGTTGTAATTGTGCACTGTTATTTTGAAATAAAGAATATTTATTATTATTATTATTATTATTATTATTATTATTAAAAGGAGGACCTGCTGGCGCTAAAGGGGTTGGAAATCCTAGTGGTTGGATGACGGAGGAAGCATTTGTCAAAGCACTGAATCACTTTTTGAGTTTCGTAAAACCAACAGCAGACAATCCATGCTTGATCTTGATGGACAATCACAAAACACATATTACACTCGAAGTTATCATGTTAGCAAGAGCAAATAATGTAATAATACTAACACTTCCGCCGCATTGTAGCCATCGACTACAACCGCTAGACGTCAGTGTATATTGTTAGATTCTATTTCAAATATCTAAACTTGTCTCTCCCTATAACACCGTTTGGTCGCTCACGCATGTGCGCCCAAGAACGGCGCGGGAGAATACGTACTGCCGCGCTGGGCAGACACTGCCTGACATTGACCGTGAGTGGTCGTAAATTATAAAAATCTAACAATATGGTCCCTTTAAAACGAGATATAGAGCTGCAATGAATTGCTGGATGGCGGCTAATCCTGGAAAAACCGCCCCGATTTACGAATTGGCCTCCTTTGTTAACGAAACTTTCCTTAATTCATTGTCGCCCGCTAACATAACTAAGGGATTTGCAACAACCGGAATACACCCATTTAATAAAAATGTCTTCACTGATGACGATTTTTTGTCATCATTTGTCACCGATAAACCAGAACCACGCACTTCAGATCAAGCTCCCAAAGATATTGATCAATCCAACGACAACCCCCGACCTTCAACGTCCACTGCTCAATCGACGACGAGCCCCAGCCTTCAACATCTATTGCTCAGTTCACCAGCGACTCCCAACCTTCAACACCCACTGCTCAGTCCAACAACGAACCTCAGCCTTCCAACATCCACTGCTAGCAGCCCAAAATCTTCAAAAAGTGGTTTTCTACGTCCGTCCACTTTAAAAATTATGCCTGAACATTTAAGGCCATTTCCTAAGGCACCCCCAAAAAAGAACATTCAGCGAGGACCACCACGTAAGGGTAAAACAACGGTGATCACAGAATCACCCGAAAGAAATAAACTTTTTGAAGAAGCTATTAGAACGAAAAGGCTGAAATCAAAATTTTCTGCGACTACAAAGAAACGAGTTAAAAAACTCTGACCAATGACTCCTCAAGTTCCAAGGAAAGATATGAGCTTAGTAAGACAGATTGGTTAAAATGTCTTATATGCTAATTATGGGCTCACGAAACATGGTATTAAAGGCATTCGACATTTTTATTGTAACATCTGTTCTTAACTTAAATTTCTTAGTTAAAAAAGTTGATTTATAGGCAACTTATATCTCA